TACTTGGGACCTGACGATCTGTTGGAGTGTGAGCAGGGTAATATTTAGTGAGGGGATTCAGGGAAACCGGTTATTTTCATATAGTCGGACTTGAGTCCTGGAAATGGGAAGTACAATGCCTGCACTTTAAAGGAGGGGTTTGGGATATTGGCAGTTTGGAGGGATATGTTGTGTATCTTTATGTGTGTATGCTTCTAAACTGTTGTATTCTGAGCACCTCTGCAAAAACAGTGATAATGTGTGAGTGTGGTAAAAGTGTTGAATGATGATGAAAGTATTTTCTTTTTGGGGATTTTCTTTCTTTTTTGGGTCACCCTGCCTCGGTGGGAGACGGCCGACTTGTTAAAAAAAAAAAAAAAAACATGTATGTGTAGTGTGACCTAAGTGTACGGAGAAGTAGCAAGACGTACCAGAAATCTTGCATGTTCATGAGACAGAAAAAAGGACACCAGCAATCCTACCATCATGTAAAACAATTACAGGCTTTCGTTTTACACTCACTTGTCAGGACGGTAGTACCTCCCTGGGCGGTTGCTGTCTACCAACCTACTACCTAGGACTCAACAGACTTATTCCCCTATAATTTTTTGCACTCTCTTCTGTCCCCTTTGCCTTTATACAAAGGAACTATGCATGCTCTCTGCCAATCCCTAGGTACCTTACCCTCTTCCATACATTTATTAAATAATTGCTCCAACCACTCCAAAACTATATCCCCACCTGCTTTTAACATTTCTATCTTTATCCCATCAATCCCGGCTGCCTTACCCCCTTTCATTTTACCTACTGCCTCACGAACTTCCTCCACACTCACAACTGGCTCTTCCTCACTCCTACAAGATGTTATTCCTCCTTGCCCTATACATGAAATCACAGCTTCCCTATCTTCATCAACATTTAACAATTCCTCAAAATATTCCCTCCATCTTCCCTATACCTCTAACTCTCCATTTAATAACTCTCCTCTCCTCTTTTTAACTGACAAATCCATTTGTTCTCTAGGCTTCCTTAACTTGTTAATCTCACTCCAATACTTTTTCTTATTTTCAACAAAATTTGTTGATAACATCTCACCCACTCTCTCATTTGCTCTTTTTTTACATTGCTTCACCACTCTCTTAACCTCTCTCTTTTTCTCCTTATACTCTTCCCTCCTTGCATCACTTCTACTTTGTAAAAACTTCTCATATGCTAACTTTTTCTCCCTTACTACTCTCTTTACAACATCATTCCACCAATCGCTCCTCTTCCCTCACGCACCCACTTTCCTGTAACCACAAACTTCTGCTGAACACTCTAACATTACATTTTTAAACCTACCCCATACCTCTTCGACCCCATTGCCTATGCTCTCATTAGCCCATCTATCCTCCAATAGCTGTTTATATCTTACCCTAACTGCCTCCTCTTTTAGTTTATAAACCTTCACCTCTCTCTTCCCTGATGCTTCTATTCTCCTTGTATCCCATCTACCTTTTACTCTCAGTGTAGCTACAACTAGAAAGTGATCTGATATATCTGTGGCCCCTCTATAAACATGTACATCCTGAAGTCTACTCAACAGTCTTTTATCTACCAATACGTAATCCAACAAACTACTGTCATTTCGCCCCACATCATATCTTGTATACTTATTTATCCTCTTTTTCTTAAAATATGTATTACCTATAACTAAACCCCTTTCTATACAAAGTTCAATCAAAGGTCTCCCATTATCATTTACACCTGGCACCCCAAACTTACCTACCACACCCTCTCTAAAAGTTTCTCCTGCTTTAGCATTCAGGTCCCCTACCACAATTACTCTCTCACTTGGTTCAAAGGCTCCTATACATTCACTTAACAAAATCTCTCTCTCTCTCCTCTACATTCCTCTCTTCTCCAGGTGCATACACGCTTATTATGACCCACTTTTTGCATCCAACCTTTAATCCACATAATTCTTGAATTTACACATTCATATTCTCTTTTCTCCTTCCATAACTGATCCTTCAACATTACTGCTACCCCTTCCTTTGCTCTAACTCTCTCAGACACTCTTAATCCCATTTATTTCCCCCCATCGAAACTCCCCTACCCCCTTCAGCTTTGTTTCGCTTAGGGCCAGGACATCCAACTTCTTTTCATTCATAACATCAGCAATCATCTGTTTCTTGTCATCCGCACTACCTCCATGCACATTCAAGCATCCCAGCTTTATAAAGTTTTTCTTCTTCTCTTTTTTAGTAAATGTCTACAGGAGAAGGGGTTACTAGCCCATTGCTCCCGGCATTTTAGTCGCCTCATAAATCCCTTCACTAAATATTACCCTGCTCACACTCCAACAGCTCGTCAAGTCCCAAATACCATTCATCTCCATTCACTTCTATCTAACAAACTCATGCATGCTGGAAGTCCAAACCCCTTGCCCACAAAACCTCCTTTACCCCCTCCCTCCTACCTTTTCGAGGACGATCCCTTCCCTGCCTTCCTTTCCCTACAGATTTATACGCTCTCCATGTCATTTTACTTTGATCTATTCTCTCTAAATGACCAAACCACTTTAACAACCCCTCTTCATCCCTTGGACTAATACTTTTATTAACTCCACACCTTCTCCTAATTTCTACACTCTGAATTTTTTTTTTTTTATTTTCACACTGGCCGATTCCCACCAAGGCAGGGTGGCCCGAAAAAGAAAAACTTTCACCATCATTCACTCCATCACTGTCTTGCCAGAAGGGTGCTTTACACTACAGTTTTTAAACTGCAACATTAACACCCCTCCTTCAGAGTGCAGGCACTGTACTTCCCATCTCCAGGACTCAAGTCCGGCCTGCCTGTTTCCCTGAACCCCTTCATAAATGTTACTTTGCTTACACTCCAACAGCATGTCAAGTATTAAAAACCATTTGTCTCCATTCACTCCTATCAAACACGCTCACACATGCCTGCTGGAAGTCCAAGCCACTCGCACACAAAACCTCCTTTACCCCCTCCCTCCAACCTTTCCTAGGCCGACCTTTGCCCCGCCTTCCTTCCACTACAGACTGATACACTCTTGAAGTCACTCTGTTTCGCTCCATTCTCTCTATATGTCTGAATTTTCTGCATAATATTTACACCACACATTTCCCTTAGACAGGACATCTCGACTGCCTCCAACTGCCTGATTGCTGCAGAATTTACAACCCAAGCTTCACACCCATATAAGAGTGTTGATACTACTATATTTTCATACATTCCCTTCTTTGCCTCCATTGATAATGATTTTTGTCTCCACATATACCTCATGTAGATATACATATACATTTATTAAACAAAAATACCAACCACTCCAACACTATATCACCCCTGCTTTTAACATTTCTGTCATGATCCCATCAGTTCCTGCTCCTTTTTTCCCTTTCATTCTAAGTAATGCCTCACGCACCTCCCCCACACTCACATCCTGCTCTTCTTCACTCCTAAAAGATGGTATACTTTCCTGTCCAGTGCATGAAATTACCGCCTCCCTTTCTTCGTCGACATTTAAAAGTTCCTCAAAATATTCCCACCATCTATCCAATACCTTCATCTCCCCATCTACTAAATCCCCTACTCTGTTTTTAACTGACAAATCCATTCGTTCCCTAGGCTTTCTTAACTTGTTTATCTCGCTCCAAAAATTTTTCTTATTTTCATCAAAATTTCTTGACAGTGCCTCTCCCGCTCTATCATCTGCTATCCTTTTACACTCTCTCACCACTCTCTTCACCTTTCTTTTACTCTCCATATACTCTGCTCTTCTTATAACACTTCTGCTTTGTAAAAAGCTCTCATAAGCTACCTTTTTCTCTTTTATCACACCCTTTACTTCATCATACCACCAATCACTCCTCATTCCTCTGGCATCCACCCTCCTATAGCTACAAACTTCTGCCTCACATTCTAATACTGCATTTTTAAAACTATTCCACCCCTCTTCAACCCCCCACTACTCATACTTGCACTAGCCCACATTTCTGCCAATAGTTGCTTATATCTCACCCTAACTTCTTCCTCCCTTAGTTTATACATTTTTCACCTCTTAGTTATTGTTGCCATTTTCCTTTTGTCCCATCTACCACTTACTCCAACTGTAGCTACAACTAAATAATGATCCGATATATCAGTTGCCCCTCTATAAACATGTACATCCTGAAGCCTACCCATCAACCTTTTATCCACCAATACATAATCTAACAAACTAATTTCATTATGTCCTATATCATACCTTGTATATTTGTTTATCCTCTGTTTCATAAAATATATATTACTTATTACCAAACCTCTTTCTATACATAGCTCAATTAAAGGGTCCCCATTTTCATTTACCCCTAGCACCCCAAATTTACCTACTACTCCCTCCACAACATTTTTATGCACTTTAGTATTGTAATCCCCAACCACAAGTACTCTCACACTTGTTTCAAAACTCCCCACACACACACTCAACATTTCCCAAAACCTCTCTCTCTCTCTCTCTCTACACTTCTCTCTTCTCCAGGTGCATATACGCTTACTATAACCCACTTTTCACATCCAACCTTTATTTTACTCCACATAATCCTTGAGTTAATACATTTATATTCCCTCTTTTCCTGCCATAGCTTATCCTTCAACAATATTGCTACTCCTCCTTTAGCTCTAACTCTATTTGAAACCAGTGACCTAATCCCATTTACTTCTCTCCACTGAAACTCTCCTACCCCCTTCAGCTTTGTTTCACTTTAAGCCAGGACATCCAGCTTCTTAATCATAACATCCACATTCATCTCTTTTTTTATCATTCACACAACATCCATGCACATTCAAACAACCCACTTAGCTCCTTTTAAATGCAGTTTAATACTTTATCTTATTATTTAGTTATTTTGCTTTTCTGAAAATACATATAGTTTCAAAGAGTAGCATTGATGAATCTCTTTCCTAACAAATTTTTGGCTGAGTGTTTACAATGATGTTTAAAATAAATATATATTGCTAGGTATTTTTTACAGATAATAAAAGAAGTGATGACAGACCAGAGTGGAAGCACACACTTCATACATTTGGTTCATCCTGATAATGACATTCGACTAGCTGCTGTCAAGAACTTCGTGGAAATGGTTTCCAAGGAACGTGTAGGTTTCTGACTTGTTTAATTTAACAACAATTTTCTTTACTTTAAATGCTGCATAAGTTAGGGACATGTTAAAAATAGTAACAATTTTAGTATATCTTTATGTAAAAACCCTAGCATGCACAGCATTTTAGGCAGAACAAATGCTATGAACAATAAAACTTTATAATTTATGCAAGTGGCCTATATTTAAAAAATAATTGTAGTACTCTTAGTAGATAATAATACAAACATATTGAGAACTACATCCAAAAAAGTTAAGGTAAAGTGCATACAGTGGAACCTTGGTATATGACCAGCTCCCTGCTCGAACAAAGCTCAGCACTCGACCAAACAAATACGACCTGTCAGAACTTTGCTGTAAACTATTTCATGTTTCTTCACTTTTTTTTTTTTTGTATTATTTGTATAAATAATACATGTAGAGAGAATGGAGCAAAACAGAATGACTTCAAGAGTGTATCAGTCTGTAGTGGAAGGAAGGCGGGGTAGGGGTCGGCCTAGGAAAGGTTGGAGGGAGGGGGTAAAGGAGGTTTTGTGTGCGAGGGGCTTGGACTTCCAGCGGGCATGCGTGAGCGTGTTTCATAGGAGTGAATGGAGACAAATGGTTTTTAATACTTGACGTGCTGTAGGGATTCAGGGAAACCGGCAGGCCGGACTTGAGTTCTGGAGATGGGAAGTACAGTGCCTGCATTCTGAAGGAGGGGTGTTAATGTTGCAGTTTAAAATCTGTAGTGTAAAGCACCCTTCTGGCAAGACAGTGATGGAGTGAATGATGGTGAAAGTTTTTCTTTTTCGGGCCACCCTGCCTTGGTGGGAATCGGCCAGTGTGTTAATAAAAAAAAATAAAAAGAGTCACCATGGGGCCTAAGACAATTAGTGATAACAGCCAACCAAACAGAAAATTGGTTGGGAAGAACTTGTTCAATACTCAAACGGGGAGGCACTCGAACAGCCTTCTGGAATGAATTAAGGTCGCATACCGAGGTTCTACTGTAATAAGCTAGTATTAACAACAAATGCACTGAACATGATGTCTTGGTTAAACAGTGCTGAAGTCATATCAGTGAGACACCAATAAAACTATGCAGATAATGTGATAGGTATTCACTTATATTTTTATCTACAGTAGTTCACCTAAACAACACATTATTTGTAAGTCTTGCAATCTTTTGGCTTCTGCTAGTGTTTTCTTCATTAAAGGCAAAGTCTTGCCTAAATAATGATTGCTATTTGTATATAGAGTTCAACAGAAACTCCCCCTTACCCCCTGCTATTGTTCAAACTCCATGGTTCAGAATTTAATTTTTTAGTTAATTTATGATAAATGTTATTTGTTCCTTAAGATTTAATTGTAATGTATCACAGAATAACTGATTACAAATTTCTTTTAGCAATTAATTTTTATTGGTAGTCGGTTGTCACTGATAACTTTGAATGCTAATTACTTCATTTATTATATACATCTGAAGATGACTTACAACTTACCTTTATTTCAGGAGAAAGATGCCAACACGATCAAGATGCATCTTAAAAACATGCTGATAGATGAATTCCCTCCTATTGTTTTAGAAGCATTAACTCTTGTAAAGGGCCTAAGAATGCTAGATACTTCATATGTAGTAAATGAATGCCGGAATCTTATGGCTAAATCAAAAGATAAAATAAATAAATGGAGAAAGGTCAAGTTGGCATGCATAAAAGTAATCACACAAGATCTAGTTGATTTGTATGATGAAAGTCTGCAAATAAGTGTACTGTACCTATGCTTGCCCTATGTACTTTTTCCAAAAAATCAGTTAGACATTACAGCAACTAAAATTGTCTTAGAATCAAACATGGCAAAGAAAAATACTCTTTTAATTGCCTTGTCCTGTGAAGTGAAATCTTTCTTATGTGATAACAATTCTTGTGAACCCATGGATTATTCTAAAAAAGTTTGGGGATTACTGCCCAACATTTTAAATACATTATCCAAGGAAGATTATATAGCCTTATGGAATCATGCTGAAAAACAGCTTGGGTCAGAAGACTGCATGTTATCTCATTTTATGTCCATGATTTTGTTGTACTGTGGTCTGAGCAACAGAAAGACTGATGACATCCTTCAGTTGAAGAGAGCAAATAGGCTTCTTGATGCTTGTCTGATTAGTTTTGATATGTTCAAGGTTTGTATTTTAAATATTTTATGTACTAGCCATTGAATTGTCTTTAGCCTGAAGCTTCATTACTTCAGGGGAGGTGTATTGATGCCAGTAAGGGGCTCTTGATCCAAGGAACTGGAGATGTCCTCCCTCCTTCCTTAGATCAAACCTAAATACCTTCTATTCCCCAGGTGCTATATGACCCCTACAGGTTTAGAGCCTCCCCTGTTTAATTAAAATAATAAATTTACTGAAAGTTATATTTTTAAGTAATTTTATTTACTTGAAAGTTTTTCATATTTGTAAAATTTTCATTATGTAAGACCTTATTGCTTATATATATAATTTTACTAATTGCAAAATTTATAGTGTATTGAATTATTTAACCATGCTGTAGAGTAAGTGAGACATTGCCAAAATTTTTACTGATACTGATGCTCAATTTTAAGTTGATACTGATACCAATATCATCAAAATTAGCTGATAGTCACCAATATCAATTCCAGTACTATCAAAATTAGCTGATACTAATGTTGATACTGATAGTATGGATATTTATAAAATGGATCTGCCCAATTTTTATTAAAAAAATATTTGCAGAGAAGTACATCTTGGATAAATAAGTAAATATACTTGCAGTGCTCTGTGAAGGAGGAAAGTCATACTTTGGATGCACTCTCTCCAAATCATATTAAAAAACTCTTAGAGCAAGTAACAAGTGGGTCGCTGTCAGTCTCCTTTCTCGCACTGTGTATGAAGCAGGCTCTTGAACTCTTCAGGCTCCCAGAATGCTGCAAATCATCACCTTACTGGAGTTCTTACATGGAGGTACTGATTATTTTTATGTTTACAAGTGCTCTTGTACTGCACATTATTTTTAATCACACTTTCAAACATAGCTGATGGTTTTATATGCTGGAAGGATTGTAAATTGAATTGGTTAAAGCACACTCATTCTAAAAAGTTTGTTTTATTAACAAATTATTTAGCTTATAAATTGCAGTATATATGTAATGCCACTTGGGGTACTGAGAAAGTTGTATGCAAATATATAAAAACATTTGGGTTCAAACTACATGTTGCTGTTGCATTACATCTTCGAAAAACTTGTTTGGTTAGATGTGACAGTCCAAAATAGCACAAAAATTAGAATCCTAGTGCTGGCATAGCAAGGTGTGATGTTAAATAAGCAAGTTTGCCAACTACTTGTTTAACAGTAGAGCTGCCAGCAATAATATCAGCCACTGAGAAAATAGATAAACACTGGACTCTTTGGAAAAATCCTGAGACCCAGAGCTCCCAGTGAGGCCTTTGAGTCCTAGTTTGAAGGAAGTAGGATCCCAGGGACCCCAGTGGCCAAGGGAACTGTTACCCATGCCATCTTGAGAAGCACTGGGCCCACCAATGCTGGAGAAAGCTATTTCAAGCCCACAATATTAGAAAGTGTATCCCTCAATGGCAACATGACACAGCCATTACAAAGCAGGTGGTCCTAACACCAAATGGTCACCCTGAAGAGGTTATCTTATATTTACAGTAAGGATTGCCACAAATCTGATAGACATGCACAGGAGCTTCCATGGGCCTGGCTGAACATAGCACCAGCTGAGGAAGGATCCAAGAAAAGAGGCTTCTAGCTTAGTCAGAGTATAACAAGCAAATGTCAATAAGCTAGCAGTGGCAAAGGGGCTCTGTAGTTAATATAAAGCAAGTGATTGGCCTTGCTGAGGCTCAAATAAGTGAGTTCAGTTTCAGGTGAATAAGGTGCAAAACATTCTAGGTGGGCCCTCAAGGGCCTTCAGAGAGAAACATGAAATAACTATGGTAACATTACATTGTTAACTTAGGTTTCATTCTCATAAAATATTGACCACTTTTACACTTTAGCATAATTTTTCTCCGAAAAGTGCATCTGTTGCTAAGTATGTGATAGTGCAGCTGCATTCTGGACAAAATAAACTTTTTCAGTATGCCAGTGTTAGGAAGGTTGTGGCTGGATATCTCAACAGTAGACCAAAACGTGATTTTCTGGAAGGGAAAAATAAAGTGTTGATGAAAATAGCTGACAATTTAATCCCTTTACTGTTAGAAGCCCCAAAATTAAAAGTCCTCAGGACTTTTAATTTTGGGGCTTCTGATGTGACAGTGACAGCATTTAAAAAAAAAATTCTTCTGAAATAATAATCTTTTTCTGAAGGTAATAATGACACCAATAATATAAAAGTTGATGGGAAAAATGTATGGAATCACACAGGCACAGAGTTAGTAGTCTGGGCGCTATTGATGCATCGAGGATTTTGCCCAATTTGAGTTAAATTTTAAGCCAATTCCATTTCTCATTTTGACCAAATTCCAGCAATTTTGCTAATATGTCTTCTGTTCTGTTGATTGAATATAAGAAGCCTCCCATTCAACTATCAGAACTACCCTTTACAGGACACAGAAATTGGTAATTTGGAAAATTTTACACAAAATTTAAAAAATTCTAATTTAAAAATTAGGTCCAAAGTAAACACACTAAACATTCAAGGCACTAAAGAATCATTTCCTCTGTTCATTGATTATGTAGTTAGGCCTCTCCAGTATTACACTTGCCCTCCAATTTGAATTGATCACCACACAAAAAATCTAATATTTACCATTTCTTGAATAATAAATTATAACCAGGAATAACTTGTCGTGGTTTACAGCATATTAGACCAGGAGGGCGTAGGGGACCCCTTACCCATCTTCATGGAAATTGTCAAAACTCAAATAATTCTGCTACTTAAAGCCTGATTTCAAGTTACTTTTATTCCTGAAACCAACCACAGTCATCTTTATTTTGGTAGTATATCTTTCATTATATCAAATGACATCAAGAAACATCCAATAAAACCATAAAAACCATTTTAGAAACACCTCAAAGTTGCTATTTTAAGCCAAACACAAGGTCAGAGGTTTGCTTTTCTCATAATGTCTCACTTGGGGTGGAATTTTTTTATGCAGTGCATACTCACCACACAGACCCATTCTCTCATGTTTAGGCCAAAACTTGCTTAACTTGGAATCACTGTAGATCTACAGATGAGACTGTGAAAAGGTTAGAAGAACATTCTTCTCTATTCTGCTTATGATTTATTGTACATACATTTCAGAAACTTGCAGATGCTAGTTATGCAAGCAGATTGTAACTAGCCTTCTTTTGCAGGCTGTTTACACATTCCACATAAGCATTTTCACTTTCACCAAGAATTACAGTCTACTTCCATATTTTCCTAAAGCACAAATTGTTAATTTTATATGTTTTATTATTTTCTCTTATGTAAGTCATTCTGAACATAAACTCATAAGTACTGTGGTATTTTGTAGGAGTCAGATGGTGAAGGGCATTTAATGATTTTGATAAAGGCACTGAAGGGAGCAGTTCAGCTTGAGAGATATGGAAAACTGGGAACTACTCTGAGAAACTCCATTATTACCACAGTTCTCAAGGTAGGATGTTGCAGTACTTTATATTTTATGCTAATCATTTATTGTTACAGTTGCAATTAAGCAAAACTGTATGTATTTAATATTATATTTTCAGTTGTATGATATTGCACTTTTTCAAGACACGAGTAATGGAGGCACTACAGCATCATTTCATTTGTTCATTAATCATATTGTCAGGCCTCTCCTATATTATGCTTGTCTTCCATTTTGAAATATATAAATACACATATAGTACTTGTAGGTAGTAGGTTGGTTGACAGCAACCGCCCAGGGAGGTACTACCGTCCTTCCAAGTGTAAAATGAAAGCCTGTAATTGTTTTACATGATGGTAGGATTGCTGGTGTCCTTTTTTCTCTCATAAACATGCAAGATTTCAGGTACGTCTTGCTACTTCAACTTACACTTAGGTCACATTACACATACATGTTTTTTTTTTTTTTTTTTTTTTTTTTTTTTTTTTTTTTTTTTTCTCAACAAGTCGGTCGTCTCCCACCGAGGCAGGGTGACCCAAAAAAGAAAGAAAATCCCCAAAAAGAAAATACTTTCATCATCATTCAACACTTTCACCACACTCACACATTATCACTGCTTTTGCAGAGGTGCTCAGAATACAACAGTTTAGAAGCATATACGTATAGAGATACACAACATATCCCTCCAAACTGCCAATATCCCAAACCCCTCCTTTAAAGTGCAGGCATTGTACTTCCCATTTCCAGGAGGTTTCAAAGTGGGTAGGGGATGTGTAGATCAGGTGTTTACATTGAAGCATATATGTGAACAGTATTTAGATAAAGATAGGGAAGTTTTTATTGCATTTATGGATTTAGAAAAGGCATATGATAGAGTGGATAGAGGAGCAATGTGGCAGATGTTGCAAGTATATGGAATAGGTGGTAAGTTATTAAATGCTGTAAAGAGTTTTTATGAGGATAGTGAGGCTCAGGTTAGGGTGTGTAGAAGAGAGGGAGACTACTTCCCGGTAAAAGTAGGTCTTAGACAGGGATGTGTAATGTCACCATGGTTGTTTAATATATTTATAGATGGGGTTGTAAAGGAAGTAAATGCTAGGGTGTTCGGGAGAGGGTGGGATTAAATTTTGGGGAATCAAATTCAAAATGGGAATTGACACAGTTACTTTTTGCTGATGATACTGTGCTTATGGGAGATTCTAAAGAAAAATTGCAAAGGTTAGTGGATGAGTTTGAGAATGTGTGTAAAGGTAGAAAGTTGAAAGTGAACATAGAAAAGAGTAAGGTGATGAGGGTGTCAAATGATTTAGATAAAGAAAAATTGGATATCAAATTGGGGAGGAGGAGTATGGAAGAAGTGAATGTTTTCAGATACTTGGGAGTTGACGTGTCGGCGGATGGATTTATGAAGGATGAGGTTAATCATAGAATTGATGAGGGAAAAAAGGTGAGTGGTGCATTGAGGTATATGTGGAGTCAAAAAACGTTATCTATGGAGGCAAAGAAGGGAATGTATGAAAGTATAGTAGTACCAACACTCTTATATGGGTGTGAAGCTTGGGTGGTAAATGCAGCAGCGAGGAGACGGTTGGAGGCAGTGGAGATGTCCTGTTTAAGGGCAATGTGTGGTGTAAATATTATGCAGAAAATTCGGAGTGTAGAAATTAGGAGAAGGTGTGGAGTTAATAAAAGTATTAGTCAGAGGGCAGAAGAGGGGTTGTTGAGGTGGTTTGGTCATTTAGAGAGAATGGATCAAAGTAGAATGACATGGAAAGCATATAAATCTATAGGGGAAGGAAGGCGGGGTAGGGGTCGTCCTCGAAAGGGTTGGAGAGAGGGGGTAAAGGAGGTTTTGTGGGCAAGGGGCTTGGACTTCCAGCAAGCGTGCGTGAGCGTGTTAGATAGGAGTGAATGGAGACGAATGGTACTTGGGACCTGACGATCTGTTGGAGTGTGAGCAGGGTAATATTTAGTGAAGGGATTCAGGGAAACCGGTTATTTTCATATAGTCGGACTTGAGTCCTGGAAATGGGAAGTACAATGCCTGCACTTTAAAGGAGGGGTTTGGGATATTGGCAGTTTGGAGGGATATGTTGTGTATCTTTATATGTGTATGCTTCTAGACTGTTGTATTCTGAGCACCTCTGCAAAAACAGTGATAATGTGCGAGTGTGGTGAAAGTGTTGAATGATGATGAAAGTATTTTCTTTTTGGGGATTTTCTTTCTTTTTTTTTTGGGTCACCCTGCCTCGGTGGGAGACGGCCGACTTGTTGAAAAAAAAAAAAAAATATATATACACACACACACACACACACACACACACACACACACACACACATACATACACCCCTCTGGGTTTTCTTCTATTTTCTTTCTAGTTCTTGTTCTTGTTTATTTCCTCTTATCTCCATGGGGAAGTGGAACAGAATTCTTCCTCCGTAAGGCATGCGTGTTGTAAGAGGCGACTAAAATGCTGGGAGCAAGGGGCTAGTAACCCCTTCTCCCGCATAAATTACTAAATTTAAAAAGAGAAACTTTCGTTTTTCTTTTTGGGCCACCCTGCCTTAGTGGGATACGGTCGGTTTGTTGAAAAAAAAATATATATAGTAGTACATATATACACTCGGAAAGGTAATTGGTTGCAAAATATATATCTAATTTTTTTTTCATAATCTGTTTTCCAGAATTGCTTGGATACTTCTGAGAGAAGATATTATTTTCTAGCCATCATGTGGGGCTGGCATCCATCACTAAATTTCTCTAATGTGATAGATGAAACTTTACAGGTAATTACATCTGTGTTTCCATATATAAACTATGTATAAGTTTGTTTATTCTGACCTTTATTTAATGGCTCTTTAATTTTTATGCCTCTCCAGGTTTTCTCTGGATATTAAATTTTTTTTTTTTTACATTTATTGTAATGAATATTTGCATCAGCTGAAAGTTCTAATTAGGATGTCATTGTCTGAGTTAGTAATTTAGTTAAGGGAATTTCTAAACTCATATTGTACATTATCATTTATTTCTGTTTCATTAAATTTGAATGTGCTATTATCTTGACCCCTGGTTAGATTATTCACCATATATCACAAAGCTACCTTGTTAGATGTGTTTTATTTTAGTTGTGTTTTGTTTATTTGCTGTTTGGAGTGACATCTGAACTGTTTTATCTGTGCACCTCTGCAAAGAGAGTGATTATGTGTGAATGGTGGTGAAAGTGTTTTTCTTTTTTGGATCACCCTGCCTCGGTGGGAGATGGCCAGCATGTTGAAAGAAGAAATATTTCCAACCAAGGCAGGGTGATGCAAAGAAGAAAACATATTCACTGTGACTCATTCTTGTTAGGTACAGTACAGTACATCAGTTATTTATCCTACGAATTTTCTTGTAATAGGTGTCATTGCACATCTGCTGTAATAATTTTAAATTTAAACTGTTCTATATTGTTTGTTACAAAAATGAAGAGTCTGCTGCTTTTTTCAGGCTTGGACATTAAATCTAGGTTCAGCACTTCTAGGCTCTCAGTCTGCTAGCCTTGCATGGGCTCTTGGCACCAGCCAGCCAATAGTTCCAGCCCTAATTTCTGCTCTAATGCACGATAGTAAAGTGGTGCGGCAAGGAGCCATTGATTGTATTAATAAACTTGGAGGAATAATTGGTGGTAGGCTTTCTAAAGACAACCACAGCCTGCTGATAGAAGCCATAACTGCACGAGCCGAAGAAGTCATTGAAGATAAAAGGTATTATTCAAAAAAGTTTAATTTTTGTTCATTATTAAACTTTTTTATCACACAGCAATTTTTGTGTGCTATAAAACTTCTTTACCACAGTAATTTTTGTAGGCTATTGAACTTTTTTTACCACACAGGCCAGGGTTGGGTGACAAAAACAGAAATGCATAAACTATCATTTATTCAATTAAACATTTGAATAAAATATGGCAGCTGATAGTTAAATTAGGTTGGTAGACAGCAACCACCCAGGGAGGTGCTACCATCCTGCCAAGTGAGTGTAAAACGAAAGCCTGTAATTGTTTTACATGATGGTAGGATTGCTGGTGTCTTTTGTCTGTCTCATAAATATGCAAGATTACAGGTATGTCTTGCTACTTCTACTTACACTTAGGTCACACTACAAATATATGTACACGTTTATTTATACACACTCATCTGAGTTTTCTTTGATTTTATCTTAATAGTTCTTGGTCTTATTACTTTTCCTTTTATATCCATGGGTAAGTGGAATAAGAATCTTTCCTCCGTAAGCCATGTGTGTTGTAAAAGTCAACTAAAATGCCGGGAACAATGGGCTAGTAACCCCTTTTCCTGTAAAGATTACTAAAAAGAATAAGAAGAAGAAAATTGTCAAAGTGGGAAGTCTGAATGTGCGTGGATGTTGTGCAAATAATAAGAAAGAGATGATTGTGGATGTTATGAATGAGAAGAAGCTGGATGTCCTGGCTTTAAGTGAAACAAAGCTGAAGGGGGTGGGAGAGTTTCAATGGAGAGGAATAAATGGGATTAGGTCAGGGGTTTCAAATAGAGTTAGAGCTAAAGAAGGAGTAGCAATAATGTTGAAGGATAAGCTGTGGCAGGAAAAGAGGGACTATAAATGTATTAATTCAAGGATTATGTAGAGTAAAATAAAGATTGGATGTGAAAAGTGGGTTATAGTAAGCGTGTATGAACCTGGAGAAGAAAGAAGTGTAGCGGAGAGAGAGAGAGATTTTGGGAAATGTTGAGTGAATGCGTGGGGAGTTTTGAATCAAGTGTGAGAGTAATGGTGGTTGGGGATTTCAATGCTAAAGTGGGTAAAAATGTTATGGAGGGAGTAGTAGGTAAATTTGGGGTGCCAGGGGTAAATGTAAATGGGGAGCCTTTAATTGAGCTATGTGTAGAAAGAGATTTGGTAATAAGTAATACATATTTTATGAAAAAGAGGATAAATAAATATACAAGGTATTATGTAGCACATAATGAAAGTAGTTTGTTAGATTATGTATTGGTGGATAAAAGGTTGATGGGTAGGCTCCAGGATGTACATGTTTATGAAATTAAGACACATGTGCAACGTCTGGGTATCTTTATTGTAGACATTTCGCCATCCAGTGGCTTTATCAATACAAATTCTAGGACATAACTTGAAGACAGTATAACTATGTACAGAAGATGAGGTAATCAGTCCCTCAACCTATCAGTAGGTGCAAAGAGCACCATAGTCTTGGAGATTCTGAAGCAGAAGAAAGGAGCCTGGCGCTTATATAGTAACATCAGGTGTAGCAGACGAGGGCATAGTCACTGGTAGGCGGGATTCCCCAGTGGAAGTAGGTCCTTCCCAAAGAGATGGGTTAGTTGTAGTAGTAGTTGTCGTAGTCGTGAAGGTTATGTACATGTCCTCAGAATCAAGATTCCATGATGTTGCAGTGTCTGACAAGTTGTGTAAGAATGGTATATAATACCGACAAGATGAAATTAAGACACATGTGCAACATCTGGGTATCTTTATTGTAGACGTTTTGCCATCCAGTGGCTTTATCAATACAAATTCTAGGACATAACTTGAAGACAGTATAACTATGTACAGAAGATGAGGTAATCAGTCCCTCAACCTAGGAGTAGGTGCGAAGAGCACCATAGTCGTGGAGATTCTGAAGCAGAAGAAAGGAGCCTGGCGCTTATACAGTGGACCCCCGCATAGCGATTTTAATCCGTGCAAGAGGGCTCATTGTTATGCGAAATGATCGGTATGCGAATGAATTTTCCCCATAAGAAATAATGGAAATCAAATTAACCCGTGCAAGACACCCAAAAGTATGAAAAAAAAAAATTTTACCACATGAAATATACATTTTCCTACACACAAAGAGAAGGATACATGCACAATAGTAGAGTAGTACATGCACAATATATATTGTGCATGTACTACTCTACTAAATGAAGAATAAATGACACTTACCTTTATTGAAGATGCAGCAATGACTGATTAGACACTGTGTCCTGGGAGTGCCTTTTCCTCCTGAGTACTGTAGGTCCTGTTTGGCATTTTCTTCCAGAACAGGCCTTATCACACTGTGTATGCCACTACGATTCTTAAATCTCTCAAACCAACCTTTGCTGGCTTTAAATTCACCAATATGAGCACTAGTTCCAGGCATTTTTCCCTGTTCACCTGGGTGTTAGTCGACTGGTGTGGGTTGCATCCTGGGAGACAAGATTTAGGACCCCAATGGAAATAAGTTAGACAGTCTTCGATGACACTGACTTTTTTGGGTTATCCTGGGTGGCAAATTCTCTGGGGTTAATTGTTTCTTGGTATTCTCAATAAGCCACACCAACAACAGTGCTACAGCAGCAGCAGCAGCAGCTGACAGTGCTACAGCAGCAGCAGCAGCTGACAGTGCTACAGCAGCAGCAGCAGCTGACAGTGCTACAGCAGCAGCAGACGATGCTACAGCAGCAGCAGCAGCTGACGGTGGTACAGCAGCAGCAGCAGCTGACAGTGCTACAGCAGCAGCAGACGATGCTACAGCAGCAGCAGACGATGCTACAGCAGCAACAGATGGTACTACAGCAGCAGCAGCAGCAGCTGTACCACCAATAGTAGCGATGGTTGATTGGGGTTTATTATACAACCTGGCCAGCTCGGAGACACGCACTCCACTTTCATACTTATCAATGATCTTTTTCTTCATCTCTATAGTAATTCTCACCCTTATTGCTGTAGGGTTGGCACTAGAAGCTTTCTTGGGGCCCATGGTCACTTATTTTGCAGATAAAATCACCAAAAACACTAATAATACGAAATGTTCCGATTGTATGCTTGGATGTTACCGCGGAGGCTGGCTGGTAAACAATGCCACCGGCGGCACATGTGAGGCTGGCTAAGGGCGCACATTGGACGCGTCTCGGACGAAGAGCGGTGAGCGGGTTTTTGAGCGGTATGCGAGGCAAAATTTTTGCGATGAAAGCGAGCGGTATGCGGATTAAACGTTATGTGATGCCAACGGTATGCGGGGGTCCACTGTATAGTAACGTCAGGTGTAGCAGACGAGGGTATAGTCATGGAATCTTGATTCTGAGGACATGTACATAACCTTCACGACTACGACAACTACTACTACAACTAACCCATCTCTTTGGGAAGGACCTACTTCCACTGGGGAGTCCCGCCTAGCAGTGACTATGCCCTCGTCTGCTACACCTGACGTTACTATATAAGCGCCAGGCTCCTTTCTTCTGCTTCAGAATCTCCACGACTATGGTGCTCTTCGCACCTACTCCTAGGTTGAGGGACTGATTACCTCATCTTCTGTACATAGTTATACTCTCTTCAAGTTATGTCCTAGAATTTGTATTGATAAAGCCACTGAATGGCAAAACATCTACAATAAAGATACCCAGATGTTGCACATGTGTCTTAATTTCATTTGTCGGTTTATTACCATTCTTACAAATGTACTTTTTATAGGGGGGGCAATGATATTCGGTCATTATTCAGTTGTAGCTCAGTTAGAGTAAGGGGGCGTTGGGAAAGGGGAAAGGTGGCAACAAAAGTAAGAGGGAGGTGAAAGTGTTAAATTAGGGGGGAAAAGTTGGGGGGGTATAAGTGACGTTGGCAGAAAGGTGGGCTAGGAAAAGATGAGAGTGGGGGGTTAAAGAGGTTTTGGAATTTTTTTAAAAATGCAGTATTAGAATGTGGGGCAAAGTTTGTGGTTATAGGGGGTGGGGGCAGGTGGGGAAAGAGGGGGTTGGTGGAAGATGAAGTAAAGGGTGTGAAAAAAAGAGAAAAAAGTTGCTTTGAGGGGTTTTTTACAAAGCGAAGTGTTATAAAAAGAGCAGAGTTTGGAGAGTAAAAGAAAGGTGAAGAGAGGGTGGGAGGGCAAAAGGGACGATGATAAATGGGAGGGGCATGTCAAGGAATTTTTAAATAAAAAATAAAAAAAAAATTTTTCTAGGTAATAGGTTGGTAGACAGAACCCCCCAGGGGGTATCCCGCCCTGCCAATGGTGTAAAAGAAACCCTGTAATTGTTTTACATGATTGTAGGATTGCTGGTGTCCTTTTTTCTGTCTTGAACGCAAGTTTCAGGTACGTCTTGCTACTTTACTTAAAATTAGGGGCACACTGAATACAGGTACAACTATATATACACCCCCCTCTGGATTTTCTTTTATTTTCTTTCTAGTTCTTATTCTTGTTTATTTCCCCTTATCTCCATGGGGAAGTGGAACAGAATTCTTCCTCCGTAAGCCATGCGTGTTGTAAGAGGCGACTAAAATGCCGGGAGCAAGGGGCTAGTAACCTCTTTTCCTGTATATATTACTAAATGTAAAAGGAGAAACTTTCGTTTTCCTTTTGGGCCACCCCGCCTCGGTGGGATACAGCCGGTGTGTTGAAAGAAAGAAGAAAAAAATTTGGAGTTAAACAAGTTAAGAAAGCCTAGGGAAAGTATGGATTTGTCAGTTAAAAACAGAGTAGGGGAGTTAGTAGATGGGGAGAGGGAGGTATTAGATAGATGGCGAGAATATTTTGAGGAACTTTTAAATGTTGAGGAAGAAAGGGAGGCGGTAATTTCATGCACTGGTCAGAGAGGTATACCATCTTTTAGGAGTGAAGAAGAGCAGAATATAAGTGTGGGGGAGGTACGCGAGGCATTACGTAGAATGAAAGGGGGTAAAGCAGCTGGAACGGATGGGATCATGACAGAAATGTTAAAAGCAGGGGGGGATATAGTGTTGGAGTGGTTGGTACTTTTGTTTAATAAATGTATGAAAGAGGGGAAGGTACCTAGGGATTGGCAGAGAGCATGTATAGTCCCTTTATATAAAGGGAAAGGGGACAAAAGAGATTGTAAAAATTATAGAGGAATAAGTTTATTGAGTATACCAGGAAAAGTGTACGGTAGGGTTATAATTGAAAGAATTAGAGGTAAGACAGAATGTAGGATTGTGGATGAGCAAGGAAGTTTCAGAGTGGGTAGGGGATGTGTAGATCAAGTGTTTACATTGAAGCATATATGTGAACAGTATTTAGATAAAGGTAGGGAAGTTTTTATTGCATTTATGGATTTAGAAAAGGCATATGATTGAGTGGATAGGGGAGCAATGTGGCAGATGTTGCAAGTATATGGAATAGGTGGTAAGTTACTAAATGCTGTAAAGAGTTTTTATGAGGATAGTGAGGCTCAGGTTAGGGTGTGTAGAAGAGAGGGAGACTACTTCCCGGTAAAAGTAGGTCTTAGACAGGGATGTGTAATGTCACCATGGTTGTTTAATATATTTATAGATGGGGTTGTAAAGGAAGTAAATGCTAGGGTGTTCAGGAGAGGGGTGGGATTAAATTTTGGGGAATCAAATTCAAAATGGGAATTGACACAGTTACTTTTTGCTGATGATACTGTGCTTATGGGAGATTCTAAAGAAAAATTGCAAAGGGCGAAGGTTAGTGGATGAGTTTGGGAATGTGTGTATAGGTAGAAAGTTGAAAGTGAACATAGAAAAGAATAAGGTGATGAGGGTATCAAATGATTTAGATAAAGAAAAATTGGATATCAAATTGGGGAGGAGGAGTATGGAAGAAGTGAATGTTTTCAGATACTTGGGAGTTGACGTGTCGGCGGATGGATTTATGAAGGATAAGGTTAATCATGAGGGAGGGGGTAAAGGAGGTTTTGTGTGCGAGGGGCTTGGACTTCCAGCAGGCATGCGTGAGCGTGTTTGATAGGAGTGAATGGAGACAAATGGTTTTTAATACTTGACGTGCTGTTAGAGTGTGAGCAAAGTAACATTTATGAAGGGATTCAGGGAAACCGGCAGGCCGGACTTGAGTCCTGGAGATGGGAAGTACAGTGCCTGCACTCTGAAGGAGGGGTGTTAATGTTGCAGTTTAAAAACTGTAGTGTAAAGCACCCTTCTGGCAAGACAGTGATGGAGTGAATGATGGTGAAAGTTTTTCTTTTTCGGGCCACCCTGCCTTGGTGGGAATCGGCCAGTGTGATAATAAAAAAATAATAAGGTTAATCATAGAATTGATGAGGGAAAAAAGGTGAGTGGTGCATTGAGGTATATGTGGAGTCAAAAAACGTTATCTATGGAGGCAAAGAAGGGAATGTATGAAAGTATAGTAGTACCAACACTCTTATATGGGTGTGAAGCTTGGGTGGTAAATGCAGCAGCGAGGAGACGGTTGGAGGCAGTGGAGATGTCCTGTCTAAGGGCAATGTGTGGTGTAAATATTATGCACAAAATTCGGAGTGTGTAAATTAGGAAAAGGTGTGGAGTTAATAAAAGTATTAGTCAGAGGGCAGAAGAGGGGTTGTTGAGGTGGTTTGGTAATTTAGAGAGAATGGATCAAAGTAGAATGACATGGAAAGCATATAAATCTATAGGGGAAGGAAGGCGAGGTAGGGGTCGTCCTCAAAAGGGTTGGAGAGAGGGGGTAAAGGAGGTTTTGTGGGCAAGGGGCTTGGACTTCCAGCAAGCGTGCGTGAGCGTGTTAGATAGTAGTGAATGGAGACGAATGGTACTTGGGACCTGACGATCTGTTGGAGTGTGAGCAGGGTAATATTTAGTGAAGGGATTCAGGGAAACCGGTTATTTTCATATAGTCGGACTTGAGTCCTGGGAATGGGAAGTACAATGCCTGCACTTTAAAGGAGGGGTTTGGGATATTGGCAGTTTGGAGGGATATGTTGTGTATCTTTATACGTATATGCTTCTAAACTGTTGTATTCTGAGCACCTCTGCAAAAACAGTGATTATGTGTGAGTGTGGTGAAAGTGTTGAATGATGATGAAAGCATTTTCTTTTTGGGAATTTTCTTTCTTTTTTGGGTCACCCTGCCTCGGTGGGAGACGGCCGACTTGTTGAAAAAAAAGAAAACATACTCAGTGTATTGATTGTAATAACTGCCTGTTCCTCCTTCAGCCATGTTTCCTCAGTGCTGTCCGAATTTGGGGAGACACAAAATTCAAAGAGTACGCAAGTTACTAAGGCTCTGGTTGATACTGTCATATCTAAAAGTGTACCAATGCATCTGAAAAGAGCACTTCTCTTTGTTCTCAGTCATGTGATGAATTCTGTAAGTTAACATTTCTTTTTAGTTTGTTCTTATTTATACTGATCATCAGTTGATTATTACTTTTTTTTTATATTTTGTCTGAAAAAAATTTAGACCAGTGAAATTGATAATCACCCAGTAAAGTTTAAAAATAAAGTGTGATTCATCATCTTTTTCTTTACATGTTATAAATATACATTATTAAAACATTTTTTCTATATCCAAGTTTGTTCATTGGATTGACTAATTCTCCATCAACACTGTTGCCTCCTATTTTTCAAGAGTTTCATTACTTTATATTGTTTTATGTGCCTTTATGGTAGTTCTTCCAGCTTTTCTCAGTGTTTGCTATTTACATAATGACTTTTGCCTATTTTCTTTACATTTAAAATTTCCTTTCAGGACATCCTCAGCAGTTTACTACCTGTGGCAGAAAGCATTATGAAACAAGTCCTCAATTTGAAAGAAGATTCCAAGCTTGATTATGTCACCTCATTTTCACTCTATTACATTTTGCTTCACTTCACTCCCAGCGCTTCAGAGGTTTTGGAAAGTAAAGATGGATGGGAGTTCTTCCTCAAGGTTATCACATGTTCAAGACAAGTTCTAGACTTCTCTCAAGATGCTGTTTATGAAGGTTTTGTTTCACCACAAAGCATCTTGATGAATCAGGTAAGTTGTGATATTCAGATAGTTACTGTATAAAGGTAGGAAGTTGAAAGTGAACATAGATGAGAGTAAGGTGATGAGGGTATCAAATGATTTAAAGAAAAACTGGATATCACGTTGGAGAGAGGGAATATGGAAGAAGTGAATGTTTTCAGATATTTGGGAGTTGACTTGCCAGCAGATGGGTTTATGAAGGATGAGGTTAACCATAAAATTGATGAAGGATAAAAGGTGAGTGGTGTGTTGAGGTATCTGTGGAGACGAAAACCGTTATCTATGGAGACAAAGAAGGAAGTGTATGAAAGTATAGTGGTACCAACACTCTTACATGAGTTGTAAATGTTGCAGTGAGGAGGCAGCTGGAGGCAGTGGAGATGTCCTGTCTAAGGGTAGTGTGTGGTGTAAATATTACACACAGAATTCGGAGTATGGAAATTAGGAGGTGTGGAGTTACTAAAAGTATTAGTCAGAGGGCTGAAGTGGGGTTGTTCAGGTGGTTTGGTCATTTAGAGGGAATGGAACAAAGTAGAATGACTTGGATAGTGTATAAATTTGTAGGGGAAGGAAGGTGGGGTAGGGGTCATCCTCAAAAACGTTGGAAGGAGGGGGTAAAGGAGGTTTTGTGGGCGAGGGGCTTGGACTTCCAGCAAGCATGTGTGTGTGTGTTAGATTGGAGTGAATGGAGACGAATGGTTTATGGGACCTGACGAGCTGTTGGAGTGTGAGCAGGGTAATATTTTGTGAAGGGATTCAGGGAAAATGGTTAGCTGGACTTGAGTCCTAGAAATGGGAAGTACAATGCCTCCACTTTAAAGGAGGGGTTTGGGATATTGACAGTTTGGAGGAACTTCTAAACTGTCGTATCTGAGCACCTCTGCTAAGACTGATTATGTGTGAGTGAGGTGAAAGTGTTTAATGATGATGAAAGTATTTTCTTTTTGGGGATTTTCTTTCTTTATGGGTCACCCTGCTCGGTGGGAGAGGGCCGCCTGACTTGTTGAAAAAAGAAAAGTACACTTGTGTAGGGCACTTGATCTAAGGAATTGGAGCTACTGTCCCCTTCTTCTGATCATACCTAATTTCCTCCCAATCCCCAGGCATTGTACTCACCTTTATGTACTCGCTTGTATGTGGTTGCAGGATTGAATCTTGGCTAATGATCTCACCTTCAACTTGCTGTTTTCAAGATTCACTCCCTCGTAGCCTTGTGGCCCCTCTCATACCTACACTTAAAACTATGTATGGAGTATGCCTCCACCACTTCTTCGTTGAGGTCATTCCATTTCTTAACCATGCTGACACTGGAGAAATGCTTCCTAGCATCCCTGTGACTTATCTATGTCTAACGTCCAGCTGTGCCTCTCTAAACAGCTTTTCCCTGTCTGCCCTATAAATTCCTCTTGAGTATTTTCATGTTTTATCATGTCTTCCCTGATTCTTTGATTCCATTAGTCTCACTTTGTGACACACGCCCCTTAGCTCTGGAGCTAGTCTCGTTTCATACTTTTTCATTTTCTCCAGTTTCTGAACAAAGCTTTCTCATTAATGGTTCCAAGATGTTTCCTGTTTATTCTGTTAACACTGTTTATTTAAAAGTGAATATAGGAAAGAGTAAAATGATGAGGATAACAAAAAAATTAGGTAACGAAAGATTGGATATCAGATTGGAGGGAGAGAGTGTGGAGGAGGTGAATGTATTCAGATATTTAGGAGTGGATGTGTCAGCAGATGAGTCTATGAAAGATGAGGTGAATCATAGAATTGGCAAGGGGAAAAGGGTGAGTGGTGCACTGAGGAGTCTGTGGAGACAAAGAACTTTGTCCATGGAAGCAAAGAGAGGGAATGTATGAGAGTATAGTTATACCAATGCTCTTTTATGGAAGTGAAGCATGGGTAGTGAATGTTGCAACAAAGAGAAGGCTGGAGACAGTGGAGGTGTCGTGTTCCTCCATTCTTATGTTCTGATGTGTCATTGGGTACGGGAGGATATTTTTGGGAAGCTTTGAGTAGGGTTCGTGTTCATAAGGACCTGCCTTGTATGGGCCAGTAGGCCTTCTGCAGTGTTCCTCCATTCTTATGCTTGAGGGCAGTGTGTGGGGCGAATATATGTAATGCAGAGAATTCATAATTTGGAAATCAGGAGGTGTGGAATTACCAAAACTATTATCCAGAGGGCTGAGGAGGGGTTGTTGAGGTGGTTTGGACATGTAGAGAGGATGGAACAAAATAGAGTGACTTTGAGAGTGTATAAATCTGTAGTGGAGGGAAAGCGGGGTAGGGGTCGGCCTAGGAAAGGTTGGAGGGAGGGGGTAAAGGAGGTTTTGTGTGCAAGGGACTTGGACTTCCAGCAAGCAAGTGTGAGCATGTTAGATAGGAGCGAATGGAGACAAATGGTGTTTAATACTTGATGTGCTGTTGGAGTGTGAACAAGGTAACATTTATGAAGGGATTCAGGGAAACCAGCAGGCCAGACCTGAGTCCTGGAGATGGGAAGTACAGTGCTGCACTCTGAAGAATGGGTATTTAATGTTGCAGTTTTATAACTGTAGTGTAAGTGCCCGTCTGGCAAGACAAAAATTAAGTGAATGATGATGAAAGTTTTTCTTTTTCAAGCCACCCTATCTTGGTGGGAAACGGCTGATGTGTTAATAAAAAAATAAATAAAAATCTATGTTTATTTCACAGATTAGTGTAGTATTTTTTAATGTACTTTATTTCCATCTTTTTTTTCCTCAGTTCTTTTAGTGCACCACCAGCTTTCTTTTATTTTTCAACAGCTTAAAATTCTCTTCAGTATTTAATTTCTTATATTTCCTTCTTTATTTCACTACCTGTTATATAGGGGTAAGCAGTAGTACTTATTTCTTTGCTAAATGGCTTTTTTTTTTTTTAACACTGGCTGTCTCCCATTGAGGCAGGGTGACCTAAAAAGAAACACTTAACCATCTTTCACATTTGCACTGTCTTGCCAGAGGCACACAGATAAGACAGTTTAGATGTCTTTCCAATGAGCAAATATCCCAAACCCCTCCTTTAGAGTACAAGCACTTTACTTCCCACCTCCAGGACTCAAGTCTGGCTAACCAGTTTCCCTGAATCCCTTCACAAAATATTTCCTTGCTCAAACTCCAACAGCTCATCAGGTCCCAGGAACCATTTGTCTCAACTCCTATCTAACACACTTACATATGTCTGTTGTATATCCAAGCCCCTTGCATACAAAACAGTTTGCAACTCTATCAAGCATAAAACTCATTTCATCAGCATCTTCATAGCATCTGAATGCTCTGGCAAAAGTGTATGTGATTCCAGATTGTTATAAAGTTATCACTAATAATGAATAAAAAAATATTCATCACTAACTTTCAAACTACTGGTAGCCAAAACAACTAAAATCTCTAATCATAGTGTTAACTTACAGTTTTTATTGTATTTCAGCTTATTTTCTAATTAGGGAACAGCATTAATGCTGGTCCTTTTTATTTCATATGACCCAATGAAGCATATGTCTCCAGGTTATGACTCGTAAGTTCTTGACAAGCATCAGGAGTGAAGAGGTGCAATCTAAACTATGGAGTGTCCTCATTAGCCGTGTTGTGGATTCTGAAAATCCCAGCGAGGCTGCTCAGCTTCGTAAGGGTCTTAGAAAAGTCAGCTTGGATTCAGGTGTTATCATCAAGCAGATAGAGAACTTAAATCTGTCTGATAAAGTAACATCTATAAAGGCAGCTCAAGCCAGGAGAAAAAAACAGTAAGTTATATTTTTGTTTTTGTACTTATGTATTGGCTGGTGTAGCTTGACTAATACTTTTTCCATAATTTAATCTCCCAAAATTATATTATATTATTATGTTTTTCATATTAGTTAAAAGTAAAAAATTTAAAATGGGCTACAGGCTATAAAGAAAAAACCATTTTTTCCAATTGAAACATACCCCCTTTTTCTCCCCGATTTTGGGTGACCCCCTTTAAAAAAAGGGAAAATATTAATCGACATTCTTTTTCACTTGCTGTTTTGGGCCAAAAGTATGATATCCATTTCAGAGACCTAAATTGCAAACCTTACCCCTCCTTTGGAGTACAGGCACTTTTAAATTTTCCCTTAAGGATCAGGTCTGGAAACTGATTACCCACAAACCCCTTCCCTTAAAAATGTTATCTTGATCACATCCAACATGGCCCAAGTTTTAAAAATTTTTTTGGCCTCCACGCATTCTGTTCAAACCCAACTCCCCACAAGCCTTTTGGATGTTTAAAGCCCCTTTGCATTTAAAAAACCTCCTCTCCCCAAAATCTCTACAAAAAGGGGGAATTTCAATTTGGTAATTTCATCTTGTGGTCTCTACTAAGGCTTTTAATATTTTCCTGAAAGGGAAGTACAGGGGGGCCCCCCGCAAAAACAAAGGGCTTTCGCATAGGGGTTTTTTCCCGCATAACAAAAATTACTTTTTTTGGGAAAAATTTTTGCCGCGCTTTACCGTTTTTTAAAAAACCCCCCCTTTACCGATTTTGTCCGGACGCGCCCAATGTCCCTCGGGCCACCCTCCCCTTTGTGCGCTCCGCCCCAAATTTTTTTACCACCCAGCCTCCGGGTAACACCCAAAGCATACACTCGGAAATTTTTTCGTATTTTTTACAGTTTTTTCAGTGCTTTTTCTGAAAAATAAGTGACCATGGGCCCCAAAGAAAGTTTTCTAGTCCCAAACCCCTACACCTAAAAGGGGGGTTAAAGAATTATTAGAGATGGAAAAAAGGGAAAAATTGATAAGTATGAAAAGTGGGGGGTGCTTTATAGCCGCCCCTATTTCAGTTTGTCCAAAAACCCCCCAAATCAACCATCGCTACTATTGTGGGGCCCCAGAAAAGAAAATAAAGGGAAGCTGTTCTTCCCAAAGGTTTCAACTTTTGTTTTGGGAAACAAAGATCGCAAATTGGATGGAAGATGTTGAAAAGCTCTTTTTGGGGTTGGGGGATAAAGGGAAAAACAGAAGAGGAGATAGCGTTCTCTCAAGCGATCTTTTGGGTAAAAAAGGCTAGGAAGGGGGCATGAGGTTTTAAATTTAAAAAAAAATCCCTGAAAATAGTGATAAATGTGAGTAAATTTTTTAAGGCCCCGCAAAGGGTTTGGGTTTTAGAGATTTAAAAAAGCGAAGTGGCCCTCCATAGTGTGATAAAAGGCATGGTGAGGCTTTCCAGTTCGGACCACAAAAACGGCTGAAAAAAAATGTGCAGGAATTCAAGGGAAAAACCCTAGAAAAAATTTAAAGGGTGAAAACCCGAACAAGTGGGTTTAAATTTTGATTTAAAAAGGCCTTTTGGAAGGGGGAAAGCCCCAAACAGGACCTTTATTTCTTTAGGAGGAAAAGGGGAAAATCCCAGGAATAAGCCTATGAAAAAAAAAGGCTTACTTTGTTGATGTGTGCCAATGCTTAAATGGTGATTGCCCAAAATGAAGCCTTTATTAGTTTTTTCACTCTGAAAATCCCAGGGGCGTTCAGGCAAAAGAATGTCCTCAAGGTAATTTGTGTGTGCTGTGGAAAGGGGAAAAAAGTTTAAGGGGGATGGGGGCACTAGGGGAAATTTTTCTTTTAACTGGTTAAACCCCTGCATTTGCCCCCAAAGTGAAAAAAATTTCCTAACTGAAAAAAAATTAGAAACTTAAGTGCCCCCGGGTTAGACAATTGGGCCCCCGGTATCCTTTTCAGACGTTTGGGAGAAACGCTTTTTTGGGGACATGAGCTTCATTAAGGTGAAAGTTTTTGCCCCCCTAATTTCCACTCCTCTCCTGCAGGCCCCTGGAAACCGGGTTTTTTCCAACTTTTAAGAAACTGTACACAAAAGCTCTGTTTAAAAGGGGTGTTTTGAATGACCTCAAAAACTCAATGACTCTAAGGAGTTTTGGAGAGATCCTTTAATATCCTAATTGTTAAACCTTATAGGTAAGGTTGGGGGGAAGTGACAAAGAGGCCTTGAATCTGTTGGAAAAAACTGGGGCCCCAGAATGTGTAGCAAAAGGGATTTTGAAGGGTTTGAGGCTAACCCTGAGAATCCTGTGCCAGTTGAGGAACCCTTGTGGCAGGGGGGAAAGTCCTTGGGGTTGGGGTTAGTGGGGAGGATGTGGGAGTTGGTGGAGGGGACAATGAAGAACTAACCCTGATGAGTGATAGTCAACTTAAAGAGCAAGAGGCCAGCCCGAGGAAAAAGGGTTCAGAGGAGGGGAGAGAAAAATTGAAGAAGTTGCTACTACAAAGTAAAGGGAAAAATCTGTGCTAAGTGGCTTAAAGTCAAACCTTCATGGATGAAAATCCCCCTCACACAGCTTTGCAACCTGCTGGTGTTTATTTCCACTGACAATGTTTTTGAAACACTTTAGGAAAGGTCATGGGGGAAAAAAGAGAGTGAAAAAAATTATAGGGGGTAAGTCTGTTGAGTGTCCCTGGAAAAGTGTATGGTAGAGTTAAATTGAAAAAATTAAGGTAAAAACGGGAATGGGTAGCAGATGAACAAGGAGGCTTTAGGAAAGGTGGGGGGGTGTGGGCCCGGGTGTTTACAGTGAAACTATAAGGAACTTTTTTAATAAGGGCTAAAGGGTCTTTGGGCATTTATGGTTTGGGAAAAAAGGGTATTTGCAGGGTGGATAGGGGGGGAATGTGGCAGTGTTGCAAGTGTATGGGGAGGGGGGTAGGTTATGAAAGCAGTGAAGGTTTTTATGGGATAGTGAGGCTCAAGTTAGAGTATGTAGGAAAGAGGGAAATTTTTTTCCCATTTAAAAGTAGCCTTAGACAAGGATGTGTGATGTCACCGTGGTTGTTTAATATATTTAAAAGATGGGGTTGTAAGAGAAGTAAATGCGAGGGTCTTGGAAAAGAGGCGTGGAGTTAAAGATAAAGAATCCACACAAAGTGGGAGTTGTCACAGCTGCTCTTTGCTGATGACACTGTGCTCTTGGGAGATTCTGAAGAGAAGTTGCAGAGTTTGGTGGATGAATTTGGTAGGGTGTGAAAAAGAAGAAAATTAAAGGTGAATACAGGAAAGAGTAAGGTTATGAGGATAACAAAAAAGATTAGGTGATGAAAGATTGAATATCAGATTGGAGGGAGAGGAGTATGGAGGAGGTGAACGTATTCAGATTTTTGGGGAGTGGACGTGTCAGCGGATGGGTCTATGAAAGATGGGGTGAATCTAGAATTGATGAGGGAAAAAGAGTGAGTGGTGCATTAGGAGTCTGTGGGGGACAAAGAACTTTGTCCTTGGAGGCAAAGAGGGGAATGTATGAGAGTATAGTTTTACCAACGCTCTTATATGGGTGTGAAGGTGGGTGATGAATGTTGCAGCGAGGAGAAGGCTGGAGGCAGTGGAGATGTCATGTCTGAGGGCAATGTGTGGTGTAAATATAATGCAGAGAATTCTTTAGTTTGGAAGTTAGGAGGAGGTGCGGGATTACCAAAATGTTGTCCAGAGGGCTGAGGAAGGGTTGTTGAGGTGGTTCGGACATTGTAGAGAGAATGGAGCGAAACAGAATGACTTCAAGAGTGTATCAGTCTGTAGTGGAAGGAAGGCGGGGGTAGGGGTCGGGCCTAGGAAGGGTTGGAGGGAGGGGGTTTAAAAGGGGGTTTTGTGTGCGAGGGGCTTGGACTTCCCGCAGGCATGCGGTGAGCGTGTTTGATAGGAAGTGAATGGAGACAAAAAGGTTTTTAATACTTGACGTGCTGTTGGAGTGTGAGCAAAGTAACATTTATGAAAAGGGGTTTAGGGAAACCGGCAGGCCGGACTTGAGTCCTGGAGATGGGAAGTAAAAGTGCCTGCACTCTGAAGGAGGGTGTTAATGTTGCAGTTTAAAAACTGTAGTGTAAAGCACCCTTCTGGCAAGACAGTGATGGAGTGAATGATGGTGAAAGTTTTTCTTTTTCGGGCCACCCTGCCTTGGTGGGAATCGGCCGGTGTGATAATAAAAATAAAAAATAAAGGAACGAGAGGTACAGGCCACTATGGACAGATATCTTGTGCGAAAGAAGTCCAGTGACTCTGAAGCTGGCCCTAGTGGCATTAAAAGAAGAAGGGAAGTAACCCCAGAAAAGGACTTATTACCTCAAGTCCTAATGGAAGGGGATTCCCCTTCTAAACACTAACACACTCTCTCCCCTCCTCCCATCCCATCAATCATCACCAGATCTTCAATAAAAGTAAGTGTCATTTAATTGTGCATGCCTTTTTCAGTTTGTGTGTATTAAAATTAACATTTCATGTGGTAAAAAAAATTTTTTTTCATACTTTTGGGCGTCTTGCACGGATTAATTTTATTTCCATTATTTCTTATGGGGAAAATTCATTCGCATAACGATTATTTCGCATAACGATGAGCCCTCTTGCACGGATTAAAATCGTTAACCGGGGGTCCACTGTAGGTCTTAGATCTGAAATGCATGGAATCTACAAATACCCACAACTGCTGTTTTGTGGGAGAATGAAAAAAAGTCAGATATCTACAACCTCCAAGACTCACGAAATTGTAATGTCATGATTGCAAACAAACCAAACCATACCACGGGCAGGATTTGAACCTGCGGTCATAGAGTCTCAAAACTCCAGACCGTCGCGTTAGCCACTGGACCAGCTAGCCACAATAAGATTCGTCCAACTAGGTATATTTCTACACCATAGGAAGGTTAGCATAGGCACCACTGTGACCACAAATGCAAGTTTTTACAGACGAATCTCCAGCTACCGTGGCCGTGGCGAACTCTAGCTCAA